TTCAGGTGTAGTTTATATAGTCCAGGTGTCGTTTTTATGGTTCAGGTTTAGTTTCTATGGTCCAGGTGTAGTTTTTATTGTTCAGGTGTAGTTTATATAGACCAACAGTAGTTTATATGGTTCATGTGTAGTTTCTATAGTTCAGGTGTAGTTTCAATGGTTCAGTTATAGTCTCCATAGTCCAACTGTATTTATGTGGTTCAGTTGAAGCTTCTATGGGAAAAACATGTTATTGGTAGAAATAACTTTATGTATGAACATCATGTATGTCCTCCAGCAGTCTAAGCCTGTAGCAGCAGAACTAAGGGATAGCTCAGGAAACCCAAACCAACCCTAACTGTAGCATTTGTCAAAAAGGAAAGACTTAAGTCTAATCTGAAAACTGGACAATGTGTCAGCCTGACAGACAGAAACTGGAAGTTGGTTCCACAAGAGAGGAGCCTGAAAACTGAAAGATCTTTCTCCCATTGTACTTTCGAAACTCTAGGAACCGCAAGTAAACCTGAGAGAAAAGTGGTCTGTTTGAAAAATATGGAACAATAAGATCTGTAATATAAGATGGAGCTAGGCTGTTGAGGGCTTTGTAGGTTAGAAGTAAGAGTCTGAATTCTGTTCTGAATTTGACAGGGAGCCAGTGGTTCACCGTTTCATTCTAGTCCTGTTTCATTTTGTTTAAATCAGGTCTCTCTTGAAAACGAGTCCTCGTGACTCAATGAGATTAACCTCTATAAATAAAAATTGAATGAAAATTAACAGAAAAGAGTCAAAAGTTTTGTGAACGCAGGTCAGAACTTTGAACTGTATTCAAATTTTTAACTGAATTTACAAACGGGTTGAAACATGAGGCTCTTTCACAAAACAGTTCTGTAAAATGGCCGCAAAGACCAGTCCGTCTTTGTGCTCCTCTGGCCGTTCATAAATCCCTGATGGACATGGACACGTCCCGCTCAGACGTGAGCTTCATTTCAGAAATGAAACCAATTGTGGCACCATAAAAAAGTTTGGATGAAGGACGACGTCTCGGAAAACAAAAAAGCGTCCAGACGACCTGACTGAACATTGTTGGATTTTAATCTGGATTATTGAGCATGAACTTTGGCATAAAAAAGTTTGTTTCGACTCTGTCTGCATTCGACCCTCAAATGCAGCACAAAGGCTTCAACCTCCCTCGCTGCCTCGGTCCACTCAGAAATCAGGCCAAGCATCGTTTTGTGTAAGAACCTTCAGTTTATAAACGAGCAGTTCCCCGATGTTCCCCGTCACAGAGGAATTTGGAAAATGAATGTTTGTAGTTTTTGGAGATGAGTGTTTTTCTGGACTGGAAATAAACGGAGAATGTAAATAAACCTAAATGTTTTTGGTGCAAAATATTCAAGTGGGTAAGAGTTGCACAGCGGGAGGTTGTTTGTTGTTCTTCCTGTCTGAGGCGGTTCAGATTGATGGACCCTGAAGAGACGAGAGACATTTTATCCACGACCAGGAGCAGCGGCAGAGCCGTGGGGGCAGTGATGGCCATGGCCACCAGAGACAAATCTGTGGCCACTAATCATTTGAGAAAACTGCTTCTAAGCAATATAAAAACTAGAACGCATGGTTTCCTCAAAAGGAACCTTTCTTATGTGTGGATGCACACACACCATAATGGAAGTTGCTACCTCACGTACTTCTCAAAGTATCGCGCTCACAACGTGCACGGAGGGAATGAATTTCAAATCCCCCCTTTTTCATTCTGTGACAAGGTTCAGCAATGTCAGGTCTTTTTGATATCATCAGCTGTTAGCAAAATATCTCATGACCAACTGGACAAAAAAAAACAACGTCCAACATTAATTGTTGGTTGTACCTCTACAGTTGATCTACAGTTGATCTACAGTTGATCTACAGTTGATCTACAGTTGATCTACAGCTGATCTACAGTTGATCTACAGCTGATCTACAGCTTATCTACAGTTGATCTACAGCTTATCTACAGTTGATCTACAGCTGATCTACAGTTGATCTACAGCTGATCTACAGTTGATCTACAGTTGATCTACAACTGATCTACAGTTGATCTACAGCTTATCTACAGTTGATCTACAACTGATCTACAACTGATCTACAGTTGATCTACAGCTGATCTACAGTTGATCTACAGTTGATCTACAGCTTATCTACAGTTGATCTACAGCTGATCTACAGTTGATCTACAGTTGATCTACAGCTGATCTACAGCTTATCTACAGTTGATCTACAGCTGATCTACAGCTTATCTACAGTTGATCTACAGCTGATCTACAGTTGATCTACAGCTGATCTACAGCTTATCTACAGTTGATCTACAGTTGATCTACAGCTGATCTACAGCTTATCTACAGTTGATCTACAGCTGATCTACAGCTTATCTACAATTGATCTACAGCTGATCTACAGCTTATCTACAGTTGATCTACAGTTGATCTACAGCTTATCTACAGTTGATCTACAGCTGATCTACAGCTTATCTACAGTTGATCTACAGCTGATCTACAGCTTATCTACAGTTGATCTACAGCTGATCTACAGCTTATCTACAGTTGATCTACAGCTTATCTACAGCTGATCTACAGTTGATCTACAGTTGATCTACAGCTTATCTACAGTTGATCTACAGCTTATCTACAGCTGATCTACAGCTTATCTACAGTTGATCTACAGCTTATCTACAGTTGATCTACAGCTGCTCTACAGTTGATCTACAGCTTATCTACAGTTGATCTACAGCTGATCTACAGTTGATCTACAGCTTATCTACAGCTTATCTACAGTTGATCTACAGCTGATCTACAGTTGATCTACAGTTGATCTACAGCTTATCTACAGTTGATCAACAGCTTATCTACAGTTGATCTACAGCTGATCTACAGCTTATCTACAGTTGATCTACAGTTGATCTACAGCTGATCTACAGTTCATCTACAGTTGATCTACAGCTGATCTACAGTTGATCTACAGTTGTTCTACAGCTGATCTACAGTTGATCTACAGCTGATCTACAGCTGATCTACAGTTGATCCACAGCTGCTCTACAGCTGATCTACAGTTGATCTACAGTTGATCTACAGCTGATCTACAGCTGATCTACAGCTTATCTACAGTTGATCTACAGTTGTTCTACAGCTGATCTACAGTTGATCTACAGCTGATCTACAGCTGATCTACAGTTGATCCACAGCTGCTCTACAGCTGATCTACAGTTGATCTACAGTTGATCTACAGCTGATCTACAGCTGATCTACAGCTTATCTACAGTTGATCTACAGTTGATCTACAGCTGATCTACAGTTCATCTACAGTTGATCTACAGCTTATCTATAGCTTATCTACAGCTGATCTACAGTTGATCTACAGTTGATCTACAGCTGCTCTACAGTTGATCTACAGCTGCTATTCAGTTGATCTACAGCTGCTCTATAGCTGATCTATAGATGATCTACAGCTGCTCTACAGTTCAATTCAATTCAATTCAGTTTATTTATATAGCGCCAAATCACAACAAAGTTGTCTCAGGGCACTTTACAGAAACATTCACATAAAAGCCAATTAGTAAAGTTCTCTATCTAAGGAATCCAGCAGACAAGTTGAATCTTGGCTTCGTCGCAGTCTCCCATCCTGAGCAAGCACAGTGGCAACAGTGGAAAGGAAAAACTCCCTTTTAACAGGAAGAAACCTCCAGCAGAACCAGCTCAGGACAAGTGGTCATCTGCTTTGACCGGCTGGTTTGAGAGGACAGGAAGGAGAGACAGACAAACACAGAATGGTAGGTCCAGTTGATCTACAAATGGCCGCCACAGCCAACTGATACGTCAGTTTTACAGACATTGGGCTAAACTTGGTGTGGTCGTAGCTGAGAGGCATTGACGCATACGATGAGCTCTAACAGACCACACAAGATCTTTGGTTAAAACTGTGGCCTGAATGGCAGCAGGCAGTATGTGTCCCTCCAAGGTACGCTCCTTTTGTAACAAAACATCTCAGTCCGTACCAACTCATAACTAATCAGTCCGTCTGCATCAGCCAAATTCCCACAATCCATCACTGTTCAGAGGGTGAAACTGACGCGACGCCACTGTGCAACTGTGC